AAGAAGACCACTCTCAGTTTCAAGACTCTCAAGGCCCCTTTTCTTCCCTGATTATCTTAGAGCTATCAAGCCTCACAGTAAATAATCAGTCTTGAAATTCTTGATGGCAAAGTTATAATCAGCAAACAAAGCTTTAAGTGTGACTATCCACTAGAGGAAAGAGTGGTATGGAAGGCAAGGAGTTACAGATCAAACAAGGAAAAGAAGGGACAATCAGGAAGAGCTCCACCTTAAGCCACACTCACAAGCATCCAGAGCTACCATTTTTGTTCTAGCTGCACATGAGCCAAAAACTGGTATGAATTTCCAGATCATACAGTCAGGGCAATGTGGAGGTCAAAAACCAAGGTAATGATTAAGACTTGGGTACTTAAGGAAGAAATGGTCATACTTCCAACCCTGGCTGCATAGGCAAGTTTTAGGCATTGTATCAAGATCAAGTAAGGCACTGAAAAAATTAAATACCAGAGCTTCAAATTCATAGATTATAATTTAGTTGGTCTGATACATAAACAGCTTATACAACTCAGTAACAAAAAAAAAAAATCCCAATCAAAAAATGGGCAGAAGACCTAAACAGACATTTCTCCAAAGAAGACATACAGATGGACAATAATGACATAAAAAGATGCTAAACATTGCTGATTATCAGAATAATGCAAATCAAAACTATAATGAGGTATCACCTCACACTGATCAGAATGGCCATCATCCAAAAGTCTACAAATAATAAATGCTGGAGGGGGTGTGTAGAAAAGGGAATCCTCCTACACTGTTGATGGGAATGTAAACTGGTGTAGCCACTATGAAAAACAGTATGGAGGTTCCTTTAAAAACTAATGATATAGTTACCATATGATCCAGCAATCCCACTCCTGGGCATATATCCAGAGAAAACTCTACTTCGAAGAGATACATGCATCCCAACATTCACAGCAGCACTACTTACAATAGCTAAGACGTGGAAGTAACGTAAACGTCCACTGACAGATGAATGGATAAAGAAGATGTAGTATATATATTTAATGGAATACTACTCAGCCATAAAAAATAAGATGCCATTTGCAGCAAGATGGAAGGACCTAGAGATTATCGTACTAAGTGAAGTAAGTCAGACAGAGAAAGAAATATCTTATGATATCACTTATATGTAGAATCTAAAAAATGATACAAATAAACTTACTTACAAAACAGAAACAGGCTCATACACATAGAAAACAAACTTACGGTAACTGAAGGAGGAGGGGGTGGAGGGATAAATTAGGAGTTTAGGATTAGCAGATACAAACTACTATATCTAAAACAGATAAACAACAAGGTCTTACTGTATAGCACAGGGAATTATGTTCAATATCTTGTAATAAACTTTAATGGAAAAGAATGTGAAAAAAGAATAAATAAATTTCAAACAAACGTACATCTTATATTGATTCTCTACAGGCCATTTGTACTAATAGTTGTAAAGCTAATGAAGAGTTAAAAGCATATACAATTAGTTTTCATATTTATAGAAAAATAAAATATAAGGACTATTAAGAGCTATGATAATGTTCAAAATACAAATATTCAGTTTTATAAGGACTTTTGTTCACAACATTAAAATATATGCATATATTTAAGAAGTAGTTGGACATTAAAGATGATTGAAAAGTAATTTAAAAATTTATATGCTAGATATAATATTTTTTTACCCCTGGCCGAGGTATTGGTTTTTGTGGTTTCTTGGATCCCAGCTTTTTCATTGCATTATAATATTTCTTCTGTTCTTCAGTCATAAAGATATCTTGACCTCCAAGGTAAAGAAATAAAAAATAAATCTAGTTAAAACCAGAACCATTGTCTAGATCCTTCCTCAGATCATTAAGACAGGTTAAAAATGTATTCATATAGAAAAGAAATGCATTCCTGCTTCAGTAGCACATACACAAAAATTGGAAGGATACAGAGATTAGCATGGCTCCTGATCTAGGATGACATACAAATTTGTGAAGCCGTCCATATTTTTGGTGACAGATGGTAACTAGGATTTTAAGGTAATCATTTTGCAGTGTACGCAACCATCGAATCATTATGTTGTACACATAATGTTCCAAATTAGTTGGAAATAATATACTATTATATGCCAATTACACCTCAGTTTAAAAAAATGAAATGCATTTTATTATGTGCAAGGTGTCAATAAATAAAACTTGTCTTATAGGATTACCTACATGTAGGCACAGGACTCTCCATACATAATGTAATGTGCACAATATATAAAATACATGGGTTACATCCAATAATGATTGGCTCAATTTTCTTTTGATAGCCTAACCTGTGTTATTTTAAATTATGTGCTAGTATCTCATTTTATTTGCTACTTGTCTCACCAGGCATTTCATTGCTGAATAACAAATATATTAGAAAGGGTTATAAGAAATAAGAGTAGTGAATGATAATTTGGCTAATGTTTACTCATTAGCCATATTGACTCATAAAAAGTAGGGGCCAAAAGCAGTAGCTAAAATAGTATTATTTTAATATTCACTTGTATTCATTTTAATATTCCATATTCTTTTAGCATAAAAATGGATATATAACAATATATATAGAACATATCCATAAATAGTGTGTATATACACATATAGAGATACACATATATTTGGTACACATACAATAAAGTTTTTATTTATTTATGTATTTATTTATTTATTTAAAAAAACTCTGGCTACCTCTTTAATTCCAAATAAAGGAATTTCAACATAAACCCTTTACTGGGTGTAAACATTACACATAATACAGTTCTAGATGTTGAGAAAATTACCAATAATCCAGGGTTTCTGACTTGAAGAACTTTCTGCTTTATTTTTATTTTTTATTTTATTTATTTATTTTAATTGGAGTAGAGTCAGTTTAAATGCATCAGTTATTTCTGTTGTATAGCAGAATATTTCAGCCACACATATACATACATATACTTGTGGACTTTCTAATTGAATATACAACCTTTAAGATTCAACAGTAAAAAAACTAGTATCTAAGTAAAGCTTTTGATCCTTTCTACACTGTTAACAGTCTAAATCTCACAAAGGAGGCCTAGAAGCTTAGCTTATTCTTTTAGATTCTGTCAATGTTTTAAAATTATCTGTAATTTATATAGATTCATGCATATGAATCTCATTGATCTGTAATAGAAACTTTTAATTTATGGCATAAATTAGTACAATCCATTAATCAGGAATTTATTTTGGGGAATTTATAGTTCTGAAATTCTTACTTACTGCATTTTCTGATCTTTCAAATACCTAATGACAACCAGACTT